TCAAATAAGGGAACTGAGATTTTGAAAGGAACCAGGAAGCAGCGGATGACTCAGCGATTTCACATCCTGCCAATTTGTGGAGGGTGGTGTGAAGGATGCATGGAAAGCCAAGATTCCAGGCAGGAAATTGCCTCCCATCCTCAGCGGGAATAACTCCTCTGATGTAAGCCGTTGCCCTGCCGTGGGTCACGAGATAGGGGCTGGGGCACTGTCTCAGCCTCAGCCAAAGATCTCAAGGCTGAGATGTGTCCTGTGCCCAATTCCAGTTTCAGGTCTCCTAACAAGGGCAGGTGGGGCGTGATGATTCAGGATCTAGAGACCAGAGGACATTTGGGGTAGTGAGTTGAGGTCTGCAGTCTCCCTTCATTGATCAGAGCCAGGACTCCCTCACCTAAGTTCTGAAGCAGTTCCCAGCCTCATCCCCATCCCCCTCTCCACAGGGGGAGGATGTGTAAAGAAGAGCTATGATGCTGAGGAGATGACTCATTTACGGAAGGATGGCTGCACACCATAGCCACTGTCCCCAATGCATTATGAATTTAGTCTTTATAACAACAGTTGAGGAAACCGAAGCTCAGAAGCCAAGCACAAGCTTTGACACTTGATAAGTAGAGCTGGCGTTCAAACTCAGTCTGGCTTTGAAGTCTGTGTGCTCTAAAGAAATATGGTGGCCCCAACTAAACTCTCCCAAAATGTCCAGGCTGGCTGGGGTTCTCTATAAGAGCTTTAGTTTTAGCTCCTTCTGAGCTCGGGGAAGGGATCCCTTTGGTGCTTCCTCTTGCTTTCTGACTTTTGCTCCAGAGAAGCGGGGTGGAAAACATGGAGGATGCTCACTGCAGGGACAGCTAGCAGGTTTTATCGATTAGTGGTGAGTGGGAGCCCTGTACTAGAAACGATTCTGAGGCTGTGTGTCCAGGTCCTCAGGAAGAAGTCCTGTGATTGGTGTGTGGTCTCTGTGCAGCTTGTCCTCTGTGTACCTGCCATCCTTAGGTTAGTCTAAGCTGGCCATTGACCAAATGGAAACCAGGGATAAGACGGGGCCAGTGACTTCTCATGTTCACACAGTGACTTGGATCCCACTCTGCAGACTCAGTCTACTGGCCCTCACCATGCTCTTCTTGGGGGGCACTTTGTCCATTCTGCTTGCTGTTGTGGTTACGTAGCTGTATTAATCTCTTTTCACCTGGAATCATCAGGGCAGGGAACATCCATTGTTCATCTTTGTCCATTCATATAAGAGATGATTTCTAAATGCATGTTTTAAAGGGAAAATGAATAAATAAATCAAACCAGGTTATTCATGTGTATGGTATAGGAAATGGCTGACTTCTCAAGGTTAGGTGTGGAGACAGTCATTAATTTTCTTTATTTGTTACCATCCGTAACTGCACTGTTGAACTCCTCAAATAAAATGTCAACAGTTGTCATTAGGAACAATCTCAGGAAACAAGTTGTTTCTGGGAAGAATATGAGTTGGGAAGAGAAAGGGTTCACTCTTGTTTTCATGAAGGTCTAGCCCACCTGCCCAGGAAATCCCTTCATTTTTCCAGCAGTTATGGAGTTCGGACCTGCATCATTCTGGATATGCTAACTGCTCTACTAAACAACCCAGGGGATTAAACAAAATGAAGGCTTATTTTTTTCACATGTCACGGTCTCATGAGGTCAGCAGGGGGGCAAAGACCCGTGTGTTGGGGAGAGCTGTTTCCTTCGGGAACCAGGGCTTTTTCTATCTTGTGATGCCACCATTTGCAGCCTAAGACCTCTGAATTATGACCAAAAGGGAGAGACTGAGGAGGACTGAGAGATTTTCATGAACCAGTTCTGGAAATGATATAAAATTACTGTCACCCACAGTCTATAGCCAATATCAAACCACCTCACTCCCATCTGATGATAAATGGGTTGAAAATACACAACATTATGACCAGGAGAAAAAGGAATATAGTTGGTGGCCACGTCACTTTTTTTTAAAAAAAATATTTATTTTCTAGTTATAGGTGGACACAATATCTCTATTTTATTTTTATGTGTGGTGCTGAGGATCGAACCCAGTGCCTCACGCATGCTAGGTGAGCGCTCTACCTCTGAGCCACAACCCCAACTCCTACATCACTTTTTTTAAACGTAATTTTATGCCATTTTTTGACCTTTTCCTATTCCTACTGAATCAAATTTCAAAGGGTGGAACCAGCAGTGTGTGTGTGCGTGTGTGGGTGTGTATGTGGGTGTGTGTGGTGCTGGGGATTGAACCCATGGCCTTGTGCATATGAGGGCAATCAGTTTTTTAGTAATGATTCTTATGCCTGGTAAGGTTTCAGAAGCCCTTATCTATGTAACAGATTTCTAGCTGCATTATATTGTTTTCTTTCTTTCTTTTTTAAAATTTTATTTATATATAACAGCAGAGTGCATTACAATTCTTATTACATATATAGAGCTCAATTTTTCATATCTCTGATTGTATATATAGTATACTCACATCAATCCGTGTCCTCATACATGTACTTTGGGTAATAATGATCATCACATTATATTGTTTTCTTTAGMCCTTAGACAATGTAATTTAGGCCTGGGGAGTCCCAGACTGTTTGCCTCCAAGTCTAAATAGCCTAATCTTTTTAGTCCAGTGTTGTATAATAATTTGGAGATTTAGTRATGAATTAGATGTAATTTTATATCATATTTTCATTTTCAGTCTCCTCTATGGATTGAGGTATTTTTAAAGTTCAGCAATTTAATGTGTTTTCTTCTCATCGTTTTCCTAATGTGTAGCAAAATGCATAACATAAAATAGCCACTCAATAATAATTTGTTTGAGTGACATAAATATCTATTTTAGAATTCCTGAGAAAGGGGTGTTGGCAGAAGAAACTTGTGTGGAATGACTCGGCTAGTTCCCACTTCAGGGCAGCTGGGAGCAGGGTTTGCACAATTCTCTAAACCAAGAAGGAATCTGCTGAGAGAGTCTTCCAGAGGGGATCATGGGCCAAGCAAGAATTGTGCAGTTCCCCAGGTCACAAGAAGCCCCACCCCACCTCTCAGTGTATCCCCCAGAAGTTAACCTGACCACCTCAATGAAAGCCTGGCAAATGCACTTCTCCTTCCTCCCCATCCAGCAGAACCAGAGCTCCTATAATCAGAATTTGCATTTATACCCAGAGAACTAGGGACTTCTACTTATGCTGAGAATAGCATCATGGGGAGAAAAGCAAGGCATTTCTGAAGACCCTGCATGGTCCACCAGTTAGCCCACCTACCTGCTATCCACACCTCTTTAAGTGCTGTCTCTAAGCAAGGTCCTAGGACACCTGCAGAGGAATCACCCAGGACACTAGTTTAAATTGAATGCACTTGTGCTTTATCCCTTATCTCCAATCACTTCCCAACAATCCCTCCCCATCTGCACCAAAAGTCAGCTGTCTGAGGTCAGTAAAGAATTCTTGGAAATTAAATATAGAAAGAACATAACTAAAGACAAAAGAAAATTTCTATCACACAGAATAAAGTGTAAAATATGAGAGAAAAGTTAAGACTCATAAGGGAAAGTGTAAAATATGAGAGAAAAGTTAAGACTCATAAGGGATAGGTGCACAAAATCCAATACCCACCGGTTGTTCTAGAAGCCTACGATAGCATGAATGGAGAGAAGAAAATAAGAAACCCACAGGGAAAAAGTTGAGTTAAAATAAGGCTCARGCCTTCAGAGTAAAAGGCTAATTGAGGGAATAGCAGGSWTGATGAATAAAGGACACATTYAGATACATTTTGGTAAAATGTCTGAATTTCAAAGATAAAAGGACATTTCCTAAAAGTTCTAAGGATGTATTTTTATTCAGTTAATAAGAAATCAGTTGGCTTTGGAATTTTGGCATTATATGATATAGGAGAAGATGATTGAGCACTGTCTACAGAGAGAAAATGATCTTGAAAGAGGACTTTCATAGTCAGCTGAACTATCAAAAGGTTTTGACCCTCAAAATCTCAGAAAGTATATTGTTTGTATCATTTGGAGTTCCTTGTTGCAAAGCAGTAGAATATGACTCTGGTTGATTKAAGCAAAAGAGAAATTTATCCCTAAGATTTTGAGTAGTACCCAGAAATATCAGGAAAGCTTGAAAAATGGGTGGAGACCTAAAGAGAGCCACTTGATTGCCACAGCCAAAATGATGCACCAGGAGCCAGTAGTGTGGATACTGCCACCTCTGCTGGGCACTGAAGCTAGCGGTGCCGACCTCCAGAACTGGGTCATGAACATGTGTGCCRGCACCACCACCTCCAGAATCTGTTGCCACCACCACTGTCACCTGGGTGGATTCCTTTCTTCTTCTCTGCAATACTGGAAGGGAGYATCAGAATGACCAGATTTGCCTGCCCTGGTCCCACAAGGCAAGGGAGGGTGCTTGCCTTTCTCATCCTTTCCAGTAGGAGGCAGTAGGAGGATATATTCTAGTAAGATGAAAAATTCAAGAGGGAAGCTGTGGGCCACTTGTCATAAGATAACAAATTCAGAAGCGTGGTGAGAAAAAAATCCCTGTAAGCCTTTTTTTTTTCCCCCCCCGCAGGTCTAGAATCATTTCTGCAGACTGGAAGAGGAACTCAGAATGATCTTGAGGAATGTTTCCTAGAATAAAAGTGGTTGCCAGGCAACCATGAATGCTGTGAATCTTTAGGTACAAATCAAGAATGATAATGAAACAAAGACCAGAATCTCTCTTTTGGTAAATAGGAAAAAAAAATTATGGGATAAACAGGAACCTTTCAAAAGATTACTMTGGGTCAGATATTAAATAAAATTGTACTGTGATTTGAGCAAATGGTGGAGGAGATTGTAACCAAGCCTTCAAAGATTAGCCRTTTCAGAAGAGGGGAGATGAGACAGGTGAACTTGTTTTTTATTTCTTTGGGGCTCAGCAATTCTTTCAGTTTTATTTTGGTTTATTTTCTTCAAAAATCCAAGCAAAGTTAAACTGAATACTCTTTATTAAGTGCATTAGTTTTCTAACCAGAACAGAACAGCAAATTTCTTTAAAAAATAGTTTGGGCTAAAAAATTYATAGGAGGTACTCGGGCAAGAGAATTGGGGGGTGGGATGGCTGGCCATCCTGTTCTTTCTTCTTATGCAAGGTTCATAATTCTTGGATCCTAGGATGATGGATTGTGCTTCAGTTTTTTCATGCACTCTTGAACTGATGGATCATCGGGGTTGGCACAGACGTGTTGCCCCTTGTTGGTGATAAAGCTGGGCGACAAGAAGGCGATTATGAACTGAGTTATCTTCAGCAAGTGGACGAAAGGAGCCCCATCCTCCTTACCCCTGGGAATCACCACCCAACAGTCTCTTCTTTCCATTCTCTACAGAAGGCAGCTCAGGCCCAGAATCCTCTCTGAGACCCTCCTCTGCCTGGGAGGCTCCCTGAGGATTCATGGGAGTGTCCTTGGGCAGCCTTCTGCCTGCTCTCTCCTTCCTCCCCTCTCCTCCTCTCCACTAGGAAGGTCTCATCCCTCAYGCCCTGCAGGACCCTGGTGAGGACACAAGTTGTCCCTTACCTGGCAAAATTCAAGGGTGGGACTATTTTAGACACCCATCCCTCATGCCCTCCCTCCAAGACCCTGCCGGCTCCCTGGCTCCCARTACATGACGGGTGAGATTGACACTTACATGACASCTGGCTGAGAGCACCCACTGCTCGTTGTATAATAAGTTTTCATGACTGTACACCGGATACTTCGTGTAATATATGAGAAGCAGCAGTCAGCAGGAGAGTTAAAGACTGTAAGTGGAGAAAGGGCTATTTAAGGGACAAGTCTTTTCTCTTAAGAGTACCACGGAGGGTGCAGTGAAGAGTACCAAGGAGAGGGACCAGCACTCAGAAGGGATGCTTCTTCCTCCTTGGGCAKCACTCAGTGTCATCTCCTTGCTTCAGAACCCCCACCTCAAAGTGGAATGGTGTGTCTGAAGGTACCCAGGTGGACTTACGGCCTCAATAGGGGCAATAGCATTTTCTGAGAAGGGGAAGGCAGCTACAGGCACCAGAGAACACCCTGTGCCCCAGCTGGGAAGGCTCTCAGGACTGCCAGGTGGGAATAGAAAAGGCATCTTTGCAGGAGGTACCCGTGGCCCATCCTGATCTTCCCTGGAGATTTCTACATATCCCAGGGTCCTCCAGATCTCTCTCTGCCCTGTCAATATGGTGGATGAAACCATAGCACGGATCTTGCTCATCTTCTGCTTTTAAATATATAACACAATGGAATATTTACCTTTATTAACTAGTGGAGGTTGAAACGTATGCTCTCTCTCCAAGAGTTCTCTTRTTTCTGGATCTGAAAGAAATAGAAAGATGGGGAGAGAAATAGCTGGGAGGCAGCACCCTCTCAGTGTCTCTGCTSCTCTATTCCTTGCCCCATCCCAAGGTAGAGAGGCTCTGATCCTGGACCACCGTCACCTGTCTGGGTTTAGGCCTGTCTCAGCCCTTTTGTATCWTGAGTGCTCTGGGTCCTTTTGAAAATGTTGGAGACATGAAGACTATGTACTGACTCTGAAATACTAAAAGCAAACTGCAAGTTGAACATGCTTCTGGAATTTTAGGACTCTGGAATCAGCAAGTTTTTCATCTACTCATTTGGTGGCAATGTCCCTTGAAGTGATGTGAAGCTACTTCCAGTCTTTATTTATCTAACTTAGTATAAATATTCCTAAGTGTTTGATTAAAATATGCTCCCCAGAGACCACCAGAGAGATTAGGTAATGTCCAGGTATGGATGATTTTTTCAAAACCAGAAAAATTTTGCATTTCAGAAAACATCTAACTCTAAAGATTGTTGGTAAGAAATTGTGAACCTGCATCATTCTAATTAGGCAAGTGCAACTTAACTTCTAGCTGGTTTCTTAAATAGTTAMAATTAAATTACATTTAATAAGGCATACACTTCTACATGTTTGATATGATGTGGGTAGAACTGCAATGAAAATAAATAAATAAGATCTGAGCTGGGAATGGTGACTCACTATCATGCCTATAGTTCCAGTGATTTGGAAAGCAGAGGAGGAATTTCGAAAGTTTGAGGCCAGCCTCAGCAACTTAGTGAATCTCTTAGCAACTTAGCAAGACACGCTCTCAAAATTAAAAAAACAAAAAGGACTGGGGATGTGGCTCAGTGGTAGATTGTTGAGTTCAATCCAAAGTGGAAAAAAAAAAGAAAGAAAAAAGAAAAAAAGAAATCTGAAATAGCCTTATCTTTCCATAACTACTTCTGAACTGAGAAATAAATTTTGATCTCCCTGATTCGCTGGCCTGTCCTTATGTTTAACTGTCCTGATGTTAACTAATTTCAACAGTTATTATCTATATGATATTAAAGCAAGTTATTTAAGGTTTCTAAACCACAGTTTTTCTCATTTGGAAAGTGAGAGAATATAATAATGATAACAACAACCACAATAATAATATACAAACTATATAAAATTGCTTAAGTCCTACTCTTTCGTTCCCTACATGAATGGCAAATTTACAACTTGTTCCAACTAATACCTAACCCACAAAGTGGTTTGGAAGACTCAGTGTTTAAAGAACAGTGACAGCATGGCACATAGAAAATACTAGATAATATGTTTGTTAAATAAAAATTCTAATTGTTAGGTGACTGTTAATCCTTATTTTTATTTTTTATTTTTTTCCCCTGCATCTTGTGACATTTTAACTTCTTAAGAACCTTGACAGCTAGAGAGAGAGCCTCTCCCAGGACTGGTCAATTTTTAGAGAGAGCAATTTTTAGAGAGTGTTTGTCTCACTCTCAAATGCCATGCCAACATGTCCCCTGCCCTAAATCATTCTATAGCCAGGTACCGGACAATGAAAGACCATCATCACTATATTCAAAGCTTTCGGGACGTATTCAACCTATCCAGTCTTAAACAGCACCCCCTCCTTTGACCTGAGTTCTTCTCAGAAACCTCATACAGGCTCTGGCATAGGTTTCCCCTCTATCCTTCTTGTGCTCCCTGGCCCAAAGCTGAGGTACACCGTGGCCCTCTGCTGCTCAGTGTACCTCCCTCTCTTAGGAAATGTAATAATACATTCTTTTTTTCTTGGTACCAGGGATTGAACTGAGGGGCAACCACTGAGCCACGTTCCCAGCCCTATTTTGTATTTTATTTAGAGACAGGGTCTCACTGAGTTCCTTAGTGCCTGGCTTTTGCTGAGGCTGGTTTTGAGCTTGAGATCCTTCTACCTCAGTCTCCCGAGCCTCTGGATTATAGATGTGCATCACCACACTCAGCTGCATTCTTCTTTTTTTTTTTAAATGGCATTGATCTCTCTGGAGATTCAGTCACCCCCATAAATTAAAATTCCACACATTCAAATGAGAAGGTGACCTCAGGTGAGTCACTTACCTGGCTAGTCCCAATTCCTCTGAAAATGACATTTCTACAGTAGATGGTATATAATGATGCAAACATCATGGAATTCTCTACTTCTTTCCACAAATTTATACTTTAATGATGGTTCTTTCCATCTAGCTAAAATGCCAGCCAAGAGAAGGTATCCAATAATTCTGGCCTTGCAAAGGAGAAAACTCTTTCCCCAGATGGGACCAGTCATCTCTGTGCAGTTTCTCTCAGGGATCACAAGCTGCAGACAGAGTCAGGGAGGGCAGTGGTGCCCTCTGCATCTTCGCCCCAGACCAAGAGTTACCCGAGGACCTGGCCACTGGTGAAGGGGCTCTCCAGACTCACCGGGTACGACCTGGGCCTGGGATCCAAGGGCAGCACCAAGAATGAGGAAGGAGAGGGCAGCTGCAGAGACCTTCATCTTTCCTCTGGGCAGGCAGAGTTGTTCTGAGAAATAAATTTTGATCTCCTTGATTTGCTGGCCTGTCTTTATGTTTATCAAAGGAGGAGGATCAGGAAGTCACAGGACAGAGGTCAGAATGCTCTCCATTGGCTCATTAATAGTGAACATGCTATTTCTATAAGACAGAAAGAGGCTGAGAATGTAACAGGAAGTAGAGGGCAAAGGTGACATGGGGATTTTCCAACTGTCCCAGTATACAGGCACAGAGAAGAACTATTTCAAGAAGGATTCCTCTGTTAGGAGACTCATTGGCTCTTATAAATCTGACCACAGGGCGAGGGCGGATGTCTCTGCCAGACTCCCTGACTCAGGGTTGGGACTTGGTGGACACTGTGTCCATTTCCAGTTCTCTTCTGGCCCAACCTGAAGGGAATTGAAACTTAGGAGCCAGTCMAGTTGGCCACTGGAATGAAGAGCAGGAGATTAGGGGCCTGGAGATTCCTAAGCTCTGATGATCTCAAGGCCTAACCACTGCACCCTGACTCTCAAGTGCCCTAAAGCCTGCAATCAGGGTACCCTCCAGGAGGCATGCTGGGGCCTGCAGCCTTGGCCTTGTGATTCATCATTCAGAATCTGCCAGGGGCTTCTCATGGACTTGGGGCCAACATCAAAGTCTTTGTGTGCAGAAGGCCCTGAAGACTTGGGTTCTCTTCCCACGCACTGCCCCTCCACTTTCCAATACAATGACACTTTAGTGAATAATAAGTTCAACAGCTAAAAGTGTATTTTTAAATTTAGATTTTCTTCCTTAGGAGAGGACCTATATACTCAAGGACCCCAATAGTTGTGCTTAATGGATAAATTGGTGCTGTGCTAATATTAATTCCTACTAAGTCATCAACTCTATTCAGGAAGGTTTCTAGGCCCTTGCTCCCTCCAAGTTGGGCCAAGTGTTCCTGCAAAGTGGTTCCACCGCATCTGGCATTCAAATCCCATAGTTCCAGTCMTATTCTATTTCTAAGGCTTATTTACCTGATTCCCACCCCCACCCGCCTTCTCCTTCCTCATGGGTGTGGTTAAAAGAGCATAGGTGATCCATTCTCTTAACAAAATCCCCAGTGCACAGTTACAAGGTCCTTGGATAWCTGCAAGGATGAGGTAGTTAACAGAGAATAAAGTAAAACCAGAGGTGTGAGTTTCCATGTGCAAATGCACAATGGTGATAATGAAATAAAGACAAATCATTTTCTTTTGGTTAATCAGACTGAAAATTAATGGAAAATTCTTAGAAACTAAGACTTGCATGAGATTCTCATGGGTCAGATATTAA